GTGTTAAGAAAGGCAGAGGTAGACCTAGAAAGACTTGAGCTTATTGTATTAAAAAAGATCTTAATTTACTAGAACTAAATGAAAATATGACACTAAATAGGACGCAATGGAGAAAAAGGATTCATGTAGCCGACCCCACGTAGTGGGATTAAGGCTTTGTTGTTGTTGTTGTTGTATAACAATTATTTGAACGGCGATAGATCAATCTTCTTTAATCTTTCAAAAAATTCTGATAAAGTGATTTGACTTCCATTAACTATGTGGTTGGGCTACAATTAAAAAATTAGATAGAACTCAATTAAATAATCAGTTGAATATTCAGTGGCCCTGGATTTGCACGGAATATTAATTGATAGTAGAGAAGTTTATATATTAATCAAGCAATAACTAAGTATTTGATAATAATTATGATATTTCTAATGACATTAATAATTGATTTCAAGCCATTGATTAGACCAGCGATTATGGGGTGTTTAGCAATTATGTTTCTTATTAACTCTATAAGACTGTTAGAATTTGTCAAAAACAGGTCATTGAAGAATGCATAACTGATTACAAACTTGCTAATTATATATTTCATTATTTTATTATTTTAATTACTTTAAAAGAATAAACATATGACAATTAAGCTAATAAAAATATTATCACAAGTAGTTGATAATTAAGTTAATTCGTCACGAGGGAATTCTTCATTAACACTGCATGTAGTAAAGCAAATAACAATCAAAATTGATATTATGATTTGCGTTTTGATTAGAAAATAATTTTTAGTTAAAAGTAGAACCTAATTAGTTGAGAATTAACTAAACCTTTACATTTAAATATTAAATAACCAATTAGCAAATTAATCTACAAGTAATCATAATTAGAAAATTACACAGATTAATTACATAACAAACTAGCAAATTACTATATCATAAAAACAAAATGCTAATTACAGAAAGTCCAACTAAAGAATTAACTTATAAGCTAACATACACTTTTATCCCTACACTCAATCCTTGTAAAGCTTGATTTGAAAACTAGAACGCTATGATGGAATGAATCCGCGGATTCCGAAATCAACAGAATAGGTGATTACCCAAATCTAAACAGATGACCCACATAAACCCTTAATCCCTCCCACCCAGCCAAGCAACTAACTTCAAGCTCACACAAACCTGTGCCATCGCATCGCAGCTCCTCGCAAGTAGAGCAGCCGTCAACGACGGCATCGATGGCAGAGAACCCGGCAGTAACGACTCTCCAAGCAGCTCTCACCGCCTCCACGAACGGCCATGTGCTCACGACAACGGGAAAAGGCTCAGAGCTCAGAGCAGCACCAGGTGCTACCACCTGCAGATGACAGGAGGATGCGTCAAAACCTAGTGCTGGAGATAAGAGTTGACGGGAAATGAAATTGGATGTTTTTGTGATCGGTGGATACACAGAGCGGAGCTCTTACCAAAGAAGCATGCAGGAGGAGGAGGAAAATTCGCATGAGCCAAAACCGAGGAGCCTGGGTTTCTCAACTACGAAAAATAATTGGGGCTTTTACTTACATACTGCCCAACTTTTATATACTTACATAACTAATATTTAAATTTTTAGATTTTATATCCATGCCACTCAATTTTTTTAATCACATAAAAATATTATTATTATTATTATTATTATTATTATTATTATTATTATTATTATTATTATTATTATTATTATTATTATTATTATTACTATTATATATTGTCAATATATAGATGTATATATAGATAAGAATTTAGTGAAGTGTAGGAATTCCACATCTCTGTAAGGGTAACAAAGTATGTATAGAATAATCTTGACAAATCAGGTCATGCGAGAGATACAAGAGGAGGTGTTCCGCGAGCATTTCGTATATTTTCCCTTTTTTCTTAGGAAAACCCTTTTTTTTCTCTACCTCTAATTGTTTCTTGGTGCTTCATTTTGGTTTTTGAGGTTTGGCCCCTTCTTATTCTTATGGATCTCCACTCTTTTCCCCTCTTCTCTATTTTTACTTGGTTTTGGCCCTTTCCTTAATTGTAAGACATTGATCTCCTTACATCTTTCTTTTTCTTCTAGTCTTTCAAACATTCTTTCTTCAAAAAATAAAGTTTGTTTCTGTGAACATGAAGTTGAGGAAGGCTCTCAATAATGGAATCTGGCAATGATAGGGTATGCACTAGGAAGGACACCTTTCTATGGTAAACTACTTTAAATTGTCAAAAAGACCTGGAATTTTAAAGGTGATGTCGAACTTCTTTTGCTTACAAAGAATTTTTTTTCTTATTTGAGTTTTTATGTGTTGAAGATTTATCAATGGTAAGTTGTTCATTTTCTTAGAAAGTCTTCTCATTTCAAGCATGTGAAAGATGATTTTAAAGAATTTTCATTTTGATTTAAGTTTCATAATCTACCTCTATGTTGTAGGTTGGAGTTTAGGATATCTAAGATCACTAATAAAATTGGTGTGGCTCTTACTTTGGATTCTCTTGCAGCAAAATGCTCCTGATTAACCTTTGTTGGAGTTAATATTCAAATCTCTTTTGATTATATTCTCCCTAATTTTATTAACTTGGATATTAAAGGGAATGAAGTTGTTTAACTATTAATTATGAATGGAAGTCGGATCCCTATAAATCCTATTCAACCATTGCTCATGACCCCGCGTCTTATTCAAAAAATTCTATAAACAACCTCCCTATGATTATCCTTATTTTTTGTGGTACAAGTAGAAGCATATTTAACGATGGCAGTAATCTCAAAAAAGTATGAGTAAACCTCCTACCTCTATAGTTATGTTAGTTGTTACCTCTAATTTATTGTCTGTTGTTGTTTCTTCTATTAATTCTCTTATTGTTCTTACTTAGACACTTGATTTGAATTTAAATGTTGAGGTTTCTTCTATTAATAATGATTTATCTCGTGGTAATATTGATGTTGTTATACCTGATTATTCTACTGGTATTGTGACATCTATGTTAATGGCAATGATTCTGTTCTCAAATAATAGTTGAGATTGATTTATAAATGTGGTTACAAATAATTTGTCATCATAGATAGTTTCTGGTGTTAAGAACTCTCTGCCCTCCACTTCTCTTCCTAATTCTTCTAAAGTTAAAAATGGTCGGTCTAAAAGGTTATATTTTCATTCATAAATTATTTTCTTATGTGCTTTCAAAAATTACTTGTTTGGAATGTGTAAGAGCTTAATAGTGAAGCTTGTATTGCAAATTGTAGATATATTTTTAAAGAAAATAAGTTTGACTTCTTATGTTTTCTTCTATTTTTTATCCTTCTGCAATAATTTTAAGAGTTTTCAAAAAGAATATAGCTTTCATAACTTTAATTATGGTGATAATGGTATAATTTAGTTGAAATAGAAATATGATTTTTTGAATTTTACAATTTTAGATGTTAAGCAAAACGCTCCTGATTAACCTTGTTGGAGTTAATATTCAAATATCTACTGACTATATTCTCCCTGATTTTATTTCCTTGGATATTAAAGGGAATAAAATTGTTTTGCCTATTATTTATGAATGGAAGCCGACAACCTATAAATCCTGTTCAACCTTTGCACATGACTTCACGTATTGTCCGCAAATTCCTAAAAACAACCTCCCTGCGATTATCCCTATTTTTTGTCTTTTAACAATGGCCACTGATCTCAAAGTAGTATGAGTAAACCTCCTACATCTGTAGTTATGTTAGTTGCTACCTCTAATTTATTGCATGTTGTTGTTTCTTCTATTAATCTTCTTATTGTTGTTACTTAGACACTTGATTTGAATTTAAATGTTAAGGTTTCTTCTAGTAATATTGATTTAGCTCGTAGTAATGTTGATGTTGCTATATCTAATTATTATACTGGTATTGTAACATCTACTGTTAATGGTACTGATACTTGCTCTCAAAAAATAGTTGAGATAGACATATAAATTTGGTTGTAAATATTTTGCATTGATAGTTATTTTCTGGTGTTAAGAACGCTTTGCCCTCCACTTCTCTTCGTAATTTTTCTAAAGTTAAACAAAGGTCAATCTAAAAGGGTAAATTCTTATTCATAAATTATTTTATTATGCATTTTTATAAATAACTTGCTTGGAATGTGTAAGAGCTTAATATTGAAGCCTGTATTGCAAATTGTAGGTATATTTTTAAAGAAAATAAGTTTGATATCTTATGCTTTTTTGAGACTAAAGTCTTTATTTATTCTATTTTTGATCCTACTGGCTACAATAATTTAAGAGTTTTCTGAATGAATATAGCTTTCATAACTTTAACTTTATAATGGTATGATTTAGTTGAAATGAAATTATGATTTTTTAGATTTTAAAAAAAATGCTCCTGTTTGTTGGAATTATTATTCAAATATCATTTGATTATATTCTCCCTGATTTTATTGCGTTGGATTTTAAAGGGAATGAAGTTTTTTTACCTGTTATTTATGAATGGAAGTTGTCTCCCTATAAATCATGTTCAACCTTTGCTCATGGTCCCGCGTCTTGTTGAAAAATTTCTAAAAACAATCTTTATGTGATTATCCCTTATTTTTTTTGGTACAAGTAGAAGCATATTTAATGATGACCAGTGATCTCAAAGAAGTATGAGTAAACCTCCTACCTCTATAGTTATGTTATTTGTTACCTCTAATTTATTGATTATTGTTGTTTCTTCTATTAGTCCTCATATTGTTGTTACTTTGACACTTGATTTGAATTTAAATGTTCAGGTTTCTTCTAGCAATATGGATTTAGCTCGTAGTAAAATTGATGTTGTTATGTCTAATTATTCTACTAGTATTGTGACATCTATTGTTAATGATAATGATTATTGCTCTCAAAAAATATTTGAGATAGACCGGTAAATTTGGTTACAAATAATTTACCTTCATAGATAGTTTCTGGTGCTTAGAACGCTTTGTCCTCCACTTCTCTTCCTAATTCTTCTGAAGTTAAAAAAAGGTCAATCCAAAAGGGTAAATTTTTATCCTTCAATTATTTTCTTATGAATTTTCATAAATAACTTGCTTGGAATGTGTAAGTGCTTAATAATGAAGCATGTATCGCAAATTATAGGTAATTTTTTACATAAAATAAGTTTGACTTCTTATGCTTTTTTGAGATTAAACTCTCTATTTCTTCTATTTTTGATCCTATTGCCTGCAATAATTTTAAGAGTCTTCATAATAAATATAGCATTCATAACTTTATTTCTAGTGATAATGTTATAATTTGGTTGAAATGGAATTCTGATTTATTAGATTTTGACAATTTTAGATGTTAAGCAAAATGCTCCTGATTAACTTTTGTTGGAATTAATATTGAAATCTATATTGATAGTATTCTGCATGATTTTGTTACCTTAGATATTAAATGGAATGAAGTTATTTTACCTTTTACTTATGAATGAAAGCCGGCTCCCTATAAATCTTGTTCAACCTTTGCCATTACCCCACATCTTGTCGAAAATTTCAAAAAACAATCTCCCTGTGATTATCCCAATTTTTGTGGTACAAGTAGAAGCATATTTAACGATGGTCAGTGATCTCAAAGAAGTATATGTAAACCTCCTACCTCTGTTGTTATGTTAGGTGTTACCTCTAATTTATTGTCTGTTGTTGATTCTTCTATTAATCCTCTTATTGTTGTTACTTAAGCACCAGATTTGAATTTAAATGTTTAGTTTTTTCTAGTAATATTGATTTAGCTCGTGGTAATATTGATGTTGTTATGCCTCATTATTCTATTCGTATTGTGACATCTATTGTTAATGGTAATGATTCTTGTTATCAAAAAATAGTTGAGATAGACTTATAAATTTGGTAACAAATAATTTGCCTTCATAGATAGTTTATGGAATTAAGAACGTTTTGCCTTCCACTTCTCTTCCTAATTCTTCTAAATTTAATAAAAGGACAATCTAAAAGGGAAAATTATTATTCATAAATTATTTTCTTTTGTATTTTCATAAATAACTTACTTGGAATGTGTAAGAGCATAATAGTGAGGCCTGTATTGCAAATTGTAGGTATATTTTTAAGGAAAATAAGTTTGACTTCTTATGTTTTTTTGAAGTTAAACTCTTTATTTCTTCTACTTTTTATACTGCGACCTACAATAATTTTAAGAGTTTCCAGAATGAGTATAGCTTTCATAACTTTAATTCTGGTGATAATGGTATAATTTCGTTGAAATGGAATTCTAATTTTTTCGATTTTACAATCGAGCACTGAAAAGTAGAACAATTTTATGTAAGCTTAATTGTATTTCAATTTTAAAGTATCTTCATAAACTTATTTTCATAAAGTTTGAGTTAATTAACCTTAAATTTTTAAAGTGGAGTAAGTCTGTCAAGGAATAAAAATAATCTATTTGAACTTAAATAAAAGTAAATATTTTCAAAAAAAGATAATATTTTTCTAATTTTTTTCAAAAAAAAAAAAAACTCATACAAAATTTTTAAAAAAACATTTCAAAACTTTTAAAAATAAAAAGTAAAAAAAAAAAAAACTTTTCAAAACTT